AGTAATTTAAAGCTTCAATCTCAATGTAGATGTTGGGCTAAGAGTGACCACCAATCAGCTGCAAGCCAATAATTAGCTGAGCACCCACAGCAACACGTGACACGGGAAGCAGAACAGAGACAGCAGAGACAGCTGCCCGCATGAGTTAAGTCATAAACTCTTACTGCCAGGGTGGAGCCCTCACTTCAGCTGTCAACAGTATCTAAGCATGCTCTTCCTTGAGTCTCACAAGCTAGGAAAACGCAGAGTTAGGATTGAGAGCATTATTCTTCTCATTACAATAATACCAAAGACCAGGATCCCAAGATTGATAATTACTAATGCTCTGGAAATGGCACACAACACACAGCTCATGCAAAACAACCCATTATTAAAATATTTGTGTTGAACCACATCAAATGTATCTTCTGTTGGTGTGTCTGAGCTGAGCTGCAACACAGCTCACAGGCTCCTGGTCGGATGCAGCACTCACTTGGTCAGGCCTGCCTCCTTCACAGTTTTCTGCCAGATCTGTACCTTCCGCTCTCGCTGACTCAGTGCCTTCTGATATGCGTGGGGAAGCCCACCCGGCGTCTCCGTGGTGTCTCCTTCCATCTCGAAAGGAATCACGAAGGTGTAGAAGTCCGAGGGTGGCAGGAGGCGGAAGACACTTGTGTCACTGCTCTCCTTGCACACCAGCATGGGGCTGTCCCAGTAGTTTGGCAGAGTGGCCAAGCCCACCTGAGCCATGTGGTCTTCCAGCATTGGATAATGGGTGTGGAAAGGGGCAAAGCTGACTGCTTCGTTCCCAGAGAGGATGAGAGGCTGGGTAGGTGTGAGAATGTAAAAAGTGCAACCAGCAGTGGAAGAAAGGGACAAACAATGGCAAACCACAATGACCTTGATGTTGTCACAGCTGTGGACATGAACAGAGGCCTGCACTGGACCAAGGACAAAAGTGCTATTCCGACACTTCTCAATGGTCACAGATCTGCAAAAGAACAAGACAGTGAGGACAGAGTGACCAGGAAAAAGCAAAACCAGGACTTTTTTCCTGCTTAGTCCATCTAACATGAATTTAGCGCTTGGACAAACCTGCTGAAAAGTCATCTAGCTGTCTCCCAGGAGAACAAAAACTCACCGGAGAGGAGAGAGGAGATAAATGAAGGACTCATTGCAGCGATGAATTCTTACGTGAGCCCCCACCAGGGTGTCCGAGCTCTTGGCCAGCGTCTGCTTGTACACCTGGCTCATTATCACCATGGGGAACACCTCAGGCGCCACACGACTATTGCAGGCAATCTTTGCTCTCCTGGTTGTTCCTTCAACTGCAAAATAAAGTTCACCAATGCACTTAAAATTAAAAAAAAGCACAAAAAGGCTATAGGTGATTCCTACATAGACATGATGGTTCACTGTCCACATCCCTCAGCAATCTCTCAAGAAAATTATCAGCCCAAAACTTCAAGGATGGTACCATCAGACTGCATCACTTCATGCACCAGTCATACCATCCACCAGTGCCTACTGGGCAGGTCAGCAGTACGTAGCAGTCAGAAGCTCCAGAAGTCAGGGCACACTGAAAGATCAAAACCACTTCAAAAGTGTTGAAGACAACCCGGACTGAGGCATCTCCACTTCACATCTCCACAGCAAAAGTCTGTTCCCGAACATTTTAAGACAGTGAAATGCTCCCTCTACAGTACAATCTTTGTGTAACCTCACTGTACTACCTAACGCGCTGCTGCTCTTACAACTGTGCGGAGAAACACAACACTAATCTAAATTTTTTTCTCCTAAGGTGGAAGGTACCTTGGCTCCACTGCCATGTCCCAGCAGGCAAGAGGCTGTTATTCAAGACAAGGAAACCTAGAGCAGTTCTCAGTTTTGCTACAAACACATCACATCATCTATTCTCTGTGCCCAGCTGTACTTGAATAACAAGGGTAGTAGTCCTGACCTCACTCAGAGGGGCCTGTGACAATATAGTCATTAATGTTTGCTCACAAAAGCAATTCAAGGACCAGGAAAATACACAGAGCTGCCACACAGCACCCTCTAGTCACCCAGACTCACCTCCAAGCTGTCACTTTCCCCATGTCCACTGACAGTAAGAGGAAAAGGAGGCAAGCCTCCATGCCACTGCCAGATCCCTGGTCACCAAGGGGAGCTGAGACTGAGAAGTTATTTCTAAAAATAAAGGCAAGGCCTATAACTACCTTGCTGTGCCCACGCAAGTTTCTTCCCAGACTTGAGGCAGGCAGTCATTCCAAAAGGGTTTGTTGTCAGGCAAGACCGCAGCCAGCTCTCTAGCTTGGGGAAAGAGAAGGCTCTGGAGACCTTTGAGTAGCCGTTCTGCCCGTGACAGGGCTGCCAGAGGGCAAGATCATGCAGAGGACGGACTGTCCTGGATTTGTTCACAGTCCCTTCAATAAGAAAGCTGAGGGCACAGACAGCTTCATAGGACACCAAGCTTCTATGTGTGGGATGAGAGGAGGCAGTGAGCTGCTCCGGCTCCAACAGCAGTTCCAGCATATCCGAGAGGTGGCTCTGCACAAAGGCACGGTGGTCCTGATCGTTCCAGTTCTTGGCAGGCAGAAAAACACACAAGAAGGAGGTGAGTTCTCACAGAGCTCACAAGCTCTACTGACACTGTACAATGCATCTTTGCCTACACTCATTCTAAAAGAGGGAAAGTCAAACATAGTGATATCTCCTGCTCACTAATTCTGCTGTTCTGCTCTTTCAAAACATTTGTCTTGAAACCTCCCCTCAAAAAGAAAAAAGGATTTTATTCTAACTCCAAGTACCAAATGCTTCATTCTAGAAAGCAGAAACAGACTCTCCTACAGTCCTTCCCACAAAAATTCAGGCAGCTGCTACTGGCAATTGAAGGCAGGAAACAAATCAATAACTGACAGTCAAGGTCTTGCAACTGCTCTATTGGAAAACCACTGCCTCTGTTCCAGACCTTCAGATATGATTCAGTGCCGCCTTCCAAGGCGCTGAAGGGAAAAAAGCAGAGGGTCATTTCTTCACAGCAAGCGAGCCAATAAACCAAACAACCTCTGAAAGAGTCATTAGTTCAAATTCTAAAGGGCTCCAGACAAAAAAAAAAAAAAGTGCAAGACTGGAATTATGGCAGACCTTAATAAAGACAAGTTTTGCTGGCCTGCAAACAGCAGAACAAGCAACACACAGCTGTGATTACATGTTGTCATCATCTGTGAGGGCTGTAGCCAAAAGGGCTTAACAAGCAGCTGCACACATCACATCCAGCAGCTGGAGATCCCTGCACTGTCCCAGAGACCCTCTCACACCAGACAAGCCTCGCTACACCATTTCAACAGGGGGCACGGTTCACGTCAGGCATCTCTGAAGCTGGGGGAATCTCACCCAATTGCATAGAGAAAAGTAACACCAGTGGAGACAGACCCAATCCCATCGGGACCAAAACCCCTGGGAGGGGTACAGTGGCAGCCAAGACGCACCTCCCTCCTGTGCAGAGTTTTACGTAATGGCTACAGTTAAAACACCAGCTTTTAAACAACACTGGGTGCTCCACAGCCACCCAACTCACAGCCCTGTATCAGTCCCTCTCATTTCTTTTTTCATTTGTTCAAATCTTTCAGTATAAAGTTACCCAGTGCCTGGTTTTAATTAGTTCAGCTTTGTCCCAAGCTACATTTCACTAGCTGGTAGAGCTCACAACATCACAGTCATGACAGAAATCCACTGAGGTTTGCAGCTAGCCTTTATAATGATGTTGCCAATCTGTAATTCACTCCCAAAAAAAGCACTGCCCACAAGCTGCACCTGATACATCCAACTCACTTTTCTCCTTTCAAAATACTTGATAGTATTTTAAAAGGAAACATTACCAGTTCCACACGGTTGATCTACAGCTGACCAACTGCCCTTTCTGAAATATAGCTTAATGATAAGAACCACCCTGGAGTCCTAATACTCTACAGAGGATCACGAGAAAGCCACCTCAAAGATAAGCTTCCCATTTGACTAATATGAAAATCAAAGAGGCAGTTGCTTCTTAAAAGAATTGCCAAGACACTGAAAGAACATGCATAGTTGGTCTCAGACTCTAGGAAATTTCCATGGACAACTTTTGCTGGTAAAACTGCAGAGCATACACCAACTTCATTTCATTTACTATTGAACAAAATATCTCCAATTTGCCTGTAGCTTAGATTTTACCAGAGGCAGGTTACACCCTCGCGGGAACAAACCAGCCACTTTGTGATCCACCTCGAGGCAGGTCTTTGCCGTTTCCCATATGGCCACACAAGAAGAAACCTACAGCCACAAATACCTTATTCTCGCTGGCGGATTTTCCAGTCAGGCTGGGAGACTTGGTCCTGGGGCTGGGCCACTCCTCCCCGATCAGAGACCTTCGCAGAGAAACCTTGTTCACCTGTTGGACGTACAGGAACAGCAGGAACTGCAGAGTGTCTACCGACAGCTAGCCAAGAGGGGAGGAAAAAGAAGAGTTAGGATGGGCTGGGCTCCCCCCACGCCCGCCCGGCTCGGGATGCGGCTCCTGCCTTGCTCCGTTCTCGCTCCAGCTCGTCGGCGTTGGCGCAGGCCGCCTCGGCCTCGGCCCACTCGAGGCGGCGCGGCGGGTCCCGCCAGATGAGGCTGTGGAAGAGCTCGAAGTAGAGC